ACTTCGTCACACTGACAACTCATGGTCATCTTGGAGTCCACTAGGACTCCAAGATCCCTTTCCGCTTCCGTGCCTCCAAGCAGGTCATTTCCTAGGCAGTAGGTATGCTGGACATTTTTCCTCCCTAGGTGCAGCATTCCCCAGAGAACGGCATAGATCTGAGCATCCTGTCTTCCCAAACTCTCATTCCATATATTTACACTACATAAGGCCCATTTTTATTATATGAGTGGCATCTTTTTTTAATAAATAACCCTCTCTTTCAATGCTTGCAAGTGTTGAGCTGGACCATGGCAACCTGAAAATGAAAGACACTGTGAATGAGGAAAGTCCTTTTTTCTCATTTTTTTGGAAAGTGGAGGTAGAAATGTTTCATGTCCCTTCTTCTATGCCTATGATTGCTAAGAGGGAGAACCACAGAAAGAGAAGAATCCAGGCAAAATAGTTTAACAAAGAAAAATATGTCTTTGTATGATAATTAAAGGCCCTCATGTTGAGGGCTAAAATAAGGGGCCTAGTCTATGATGTTTGATCTGGAGGTGTCATGAGTATATTTTGGTGGGGAGGTAACAATTCTACATCAGATACAGCTTCATGGTTGAAAGGCCAACCCTGCTAAAGAAATTATTATTTTGTTATTTGAAGTGTGAAGAAACTGGAGAAGTTCATTCTCAGTTCCAGGCACTCTTATCAGCAATCAACAAGCCCAGCACCAATTTTTCTCTAAGCATTGCTAACAGGCTGTACGGAGCAAAGGGTTTTCACTTCCTTGAGGTAAGCTGCAATGGTGTCCATGCTAGTAATGAATTTAGCACAATTACTGTCTACCCGGGAACATAATGGAATGTGTCCAAGATGGCATGGTGAGAGTGTTTTCCATAAAGATGTCCTATACAGTAGTCAAATTTGTTTCTTGTTTTCCATGCAGGGAGTAAAGAAAAAAGCAAAAGCATAGATAGGTACTTGTTCACAATGGCTATCAGAACTCATTAAACGTCTGACTTTCTCTTTTTTTGCAGACAATATCAGTGTTTTTAATTTTGCTTTCATTCCAGTTCAGAATGAAGGTAGTTATTTGTAAAATTCTCACAGCAAAAAATACTAAAAAAGTTTGTTTGGAAAAGTACATGCTGGAATTTGTAAATTTCATGTTTATTTCAATTTCATGTATTATTATTTATAATATATTATTTTGGGACACGTTTATCCTTTATAATTTGCATTACTAGTACTAGTACTGATATGTCAGTTTGACAACTAGCAGCTACTGCATTCTCACATTGTATGATAGGCATTACTATAATTAACAGCTTGTGAAAACTATAAAAGTGACAAAGACATGCAGAATTCCATTAAAGAAAGTACTACAAAGATTCACAATTTTTTAAAATGAAAACTTCTATTTGAGATTGTTTTATATTGATATATTTACCAAAACCAAATATTAAAAAAATTGAATTAAATAAAAACTGTTTTTTCTTTAAAAAACCTATCTGTATGTGTATATACACACATATACATATACATACATATACATACATATATACATATACACATATACATACATACATATATACATATACACATATACATACATATACATATACATATACACATATACATATACATATACACACATATACATATACACATATATATAGAGAGAGAGAGAGAGAGAGACATACATATATATGTATCTATATATGTACACACGCACATATATATACACACACACACACACACACACACACACATATATACACATACATACATATATATATATACATATACATATATAGACATACTGTTATATTTTCTGACATGATCAGTGTCCCAGTTCTTATATGCACTTCACCTTTAATCAGAGGCCTTGTTTGGAAAACACCCATATTAATACATAATTTCTAATAAAAAATTATAAGGAATTCTAAGATTGTAAAATTAATTGCTCATAAAAATGCCAAAACAGGGTCACTTTAGCCACAAGTGTGCACATTATGAGGAATCTTGCATGAAGTGATTACAGAATATTCTTTCTGCAAGATCATTCCTGCAAGAGGTGAATGAGGTCGATCTTCCACATTTGTTTCTACTTAATTCCTGTGAAATCAGTTGGACTCCACACAGGGCAATTTGCAGTCAGGGCTACCTTGCATTCCACATAGAGTACGCTTAGTGGGAACTTCCACACAGGATGCACTGCTGTTTCACACGCAGAACTAGCAGACCATTGGAAGATCATCAATAAAAATAAACTGTTGTCTGTTAGAAGCAGAATGCGTTAGAACCCACTTTGAAACACTTTTAATTTGGACAACACTCACATTATCTTCAGTGAACTGAGAAGGTCATGTGTCTGACCCAGTACTTATCTCAACCACAAATCAGTAAAGCCACAATCTTGCCACACAATTTTCAGACATGCTATGTCTTATCACAAAGGTATATTCCTTTCATTGCTTTAATGCTCAAAAGCAGCTAATCCACTTTTGCTGAAACAGAAACCCTTGGCAAAGAAGGACCTTGACAAAAAGAACGAGATCACCCCCCAAAATAAGAACATTGACAAAATTATAAAGAACTAGAAAGGGGCCTCTTGAAGGGGGATACAAAGAAGATGCATCTTCAGTAATAGCTAACTGTGCCTAACATTGTGCCTAACTGCTACAATAAAAGATATAGCACCTTCAAGGATACCTTCAGTATATATTACCTGGCACATATTCACTAGCACATGTTCACTTAATGGCACATGTGCATGGTCAACTGCACTATATTGGGATTGGGGATTAGATTGCAATCACATCATTATGCTGGCCAGTCCAGGGGCAGTCTAGGATTATGATCCTGATCTTGCCCTGCACCTGCAGGTAAAAAGCCAATTGCCCAGTGAACCTGTGCAGTCCAGAGAGCTGGGACTGACAATCACATGGCACAGGAATTGTGACTGGAATCTTATCGTGCCAGTAATTGCCTGAACATGTGGCTGGATTACTATTTAAAACACGATTAACTGGTTAATCACATCTTAAATTTAACATGTGTCAGGGGCCTGAATGTCCTCTGCAGGCTGCATAATTGCTTATGTAAAGTCTACACCATGAACAAAAGAGAGTTTAATGCACTTCAATTATGAGGACAGAACATTTAAAAAAATCATTTCCATTTTCCCTTTTTCACTATAGTACAAGCTCAACCCCTCCCCCCACCCCACAAAAAAACCAATAAACAAGCCCAGCAGCTTAAATTTAAGTCCCTAAAAAGACATTAAGAGCAAAATTGTGAAAAACACAAGGCACAATTGGGTGCTCTGCTCCCTCTGAAAGTTAATGACAGATGTGTAACAATGGGTTGAGGGCATAAAGAGAGGCTCCTGCTTTGGACTTTACCAAATTTTCCTGTCAAGGAGTCATTCTGAGTAGCATCTTGAAACTGTAAAATAAGTGTTAATATAACTGGAGACAAAGAAAGAATGAACATTGATTAGAAAAGTGGGTTTGAAAATAGATTTTCTTTCAAATAGTCTGTGCAGGATATGGGAGGTTGCACTGGCACAGCCTCAGATTTTAGTCTCACTCTCTACCCATATTCCATTCTTGCTCTGGTGCAATAGGGAAGGGTCTTGCACACAGGAAGTTATAGGCCCTGTTACACACATTTGTCTTTCCTACTTTCCAGCAATACTTGAAGTGCACAGAGACACTGTACCATGCTGAGCTGGAAGCTGTTGACTTTAGGAATGCTCTAGAAGAAACCAGAAAAAAAATTAACACCTGGGTGGAAGAACAGACCAGTGGTAAGTCCAGGAAATATTGGGTGCTTGGATGAATACATACATATGAGAATTAATGAGTAATATAATACCTGAAGATGAAGTTCTTTCTGCTTTGCTAAGCCTCACAGGCTTTTCAATTTTTCCACAACATTGTCCTTTACTTGTTAATGCTAGAAAATTGGACACAGGTTCAAGACTTCTTTGAACATGTCTATCCTGGCTCCCAGCAGAACCAAGAACTGCTACCAAGTTACAAGTCTCTTTCTCAGGAGAGTGGCACTGAGTCGTTCACTCCTGACCTCTACGGGCCAGCCACTCTGCCCCAGGAGAGCCTCAGAGTGGTGCCAGGGCATGCACTCAAGACCGCTGTAACTTACTGATCTGCCTAATGATTAGGCTTGCCCAGGAGAGTGGGCAGGTTTGCTTCTTGACAGTGGTCTTAAGCTTGGCAGAAAAGAGCTAAATAGACATGGCCTCTGAGGTCTTCTGGCTTGCAGCTCTACAATAGTTTACTGTTGATGCATCAGTTTCATTTCAAGATCATTCTTGTCATCACTGAACTCTGAATTATTATAAATCAAGTCTAGTGGAATATCTGAACAAAGTATGTTAATGCAGCTGAATTGATTATTTTTAAAGGTAAAATCAAAGAGTTGTTCGCAGAGCACGTTCTAGATTCAGATACTATCCTGGTGCTGGTCAATGCTATCTACTTTAAAGGAAAGTGGACTTCAGAATTTAAGAAAGAAGACACCAAGGAAAGACCTTTCAGGTTAAACAAGGTACTGTATGGACTATGGCTGAAGTGAAGGAAACACAACCCTCTCTTTACTTTTATTAAAAGAGGTTGAGAGCTTCTCCTTGCTGCCTGTCAACCCTTTTAACTAACTCTATAGAGATGTTTCTACCACAAGTTACTCAGGAGTTGCTCTGACATTCATCCCTCCACACTGAGATATCCTCAAAGAGGTTTCAGTGGAAGATAACAGACTTATTTAATTATAAGGGAACTGGCCAATTAGGACTTCTATTTAGATACAAAAGCCTGGTAAGGGGAAAAGGTCACGTGAGCTGAACACATGACACACTTGATAAGAAGTTGCGTTCATGTTCTGTTCTTGAGCCTGAAGCAATCCAAATCTATAAAACAGGATTCTGGCATGGCGCTATTCTGGCTTTTATAATGTTGGGTTCCAAAATGAGGAACGTAACTATATCCAGGGGATTTTAACTTAATTCTTCTCCTTAACAAATGGACGTTTTTCTATGGTGTTCTTTAAAACAAAATGTCCTCATTTGAGATGTCAAAACAAATGCATGATGGGGTTGAGGGAAATTCTATCCTAAACCATAAGTCGGAAAAAAGTCCATATTGTCCTCTGTAGAATGAAAAGGAGAGTTATAATGAACTTGATGTGAGAGGGGCTGAAAGGGAGGAACACAACATGCCACTGTTCAGGTCCAGAAAGCCGACAGATAGAACAGGGGCTGGCTACCTGTGGAGAATTTCATCCTGGGCCAGAAACAGATCCTAAACCCAGTTTGACTGTGTGACTTCCAGTACACAGATTCTGGATAGGGGAATGTCTGTGCTTTCTGCTTCTCTTCGTGTCTGTTCTTCATATTACAGAATCAGACCAAGAATGTGCAGATGATGTTTCAGAATGGCTACTACAATCTGGCCATCATAGAGGAACCTGAGATTCAAGTGCTCGAACTCCCCTACGGTAATGAAGAAGGAGGAGAACTGAGTATGTTCATTTTTTTACCAAAAGATATCAAGGATAACTCCACTGGCCTGGAACAGGTAAATCCTCTGATCTCTGAGGGTGTGTATAAAAGGCTTATATACGCTGCCTATGAATGCACTGATATCTTTGCTCATCTTCAATTACCTGGGCAGTACAGACAGAATAAAAGGCAATAGTAAAGGTTCTTTATATTTTCTCCCATTTACTGTGGATTTTGAAGATGCCCGTTATTAGACCGAGAACATTATATTTCATTTCCTTAGACAAAATATACATGGTAAATTGCTAATGAATAAAACTTTGGGGATTTAAAAAAAAAAAAAAAATCAACAATTAATCCTGAAAATATGACTTTTTAGTGACAATCTAAAAAATGTTACTTTGGGAGCGCGGCAGGATTGAGCATCAATTGTGCTGGTTAGATATTTCCCACATTTCAAATAAAATTTGATATCTTTATCTCAAAAGACACAGGAAAAGATTAAAATATATTTGGAAATGGTCCTACTTCCCATTCTTCATTTGATTATGAGCTGTGTTCTGGTAATCCATTTGTTTTTTGTAGTTAAATAATCATACTAAACATGAAATTGAAAACCAGATTCACTCCACTCGCACAAATTCAGCTCTTTGGTCTCTTTGTTTTTTCATCCTAAGTTTTCTATTCTCCTGTTTTTGCCCCTGTAGCTTGACAGTGCACTCATCTATAAAAAATTTGTAGAGTGGACCACGATGACGAAGATGCATAAACGAAACGTGAATGTGTACCTGCCCCGATTCAAGATGCAGGAAGACTATGACCTTGGGGAAACTCTGCTGGCTATGGGGATGTGCGATCTGTTTGACTCTTCGAAGGCTGATTTATCAGGAATGACTGGAAACCGTGGTCTGGCTGTGTCCAAAGGCGTCCATAAATCTTATGTGGATGTTAATGAAGAGGGCACTGAAGCAGCTGCTGCTACAGGGGTTACAGCAGGTGCTACAAGTGTTGGGATGTCTTATGAGTTTAAGGCTGACCACCCCTTCCTCTTCCTTATCAAACACAATGTAAACAACAGCATTCTCTTTTTTGGCCAATGTACCTCTCCTTAACTAGAGGGCACTTTGAAACAATATAGGAAGACCTACAACCTTGTTGTAGTGAGGATAAAAGATAATATTTCTCAAGTTTTTTGAAATTTTGCAAATTTGAAATGAGAGATTTTTTAATGCAATGGCTTCTAAGAAAAGTCTCCTAATACAGTGGCCAGCAACCTTCGACAAGCTGTGGCCAAAACCATACGGCTCCAGTCTGGTGTGGACCAAGTGCCTTTAGCAGCACATTGGCAGTGGGGAGTTTTTCCTGCGCCCAAGCCAGGGTCAGGCATCTAGGAGCTGTGCCTGTGCCACTGCCACTGCTTCTCTCAGCCCCCTACCCCCTGGCTGGGGGGGAGAGTGCAGCTTCCCACTGGCTGACAGCTGTGCCTATGCTACAACTGAGGGACGGTGATGGTGATAAGTGGCAGAGGCCCGGGTGCAGCTAGAAACTGCCCAGCTCTTGCACAAACCCTTGCTGCCTGACCTTGACATGGGGGCAGGTGCAGGCACAGGCAAAGCTCTTCACCTCCAGTGGTTCTGCAGACTGAATCTGAATATGTTGCTGGCCCCTCTTCTATTATGTTATTGTCTTTTGCCTTTATATTGCTTATAACTTATTGTCTTTATATTGGTTATTATAATATAACCAAAGCAGCTATCTCCTAAATTTGAAATCATTTTGACTCCATTACGTGCTCTTGTTTCCATGTGTTTTAAACTGAGGAATGTCTGAGTAAATCAGGTGGCCAAGTCAATGCCCCTGTTCATACAGAATGTGGCTGGAGACATTTCCCACAGTGAGTGAGCTGCAGTCCTATTTTCTGGCTCCCTGGAGCCTTTCTTATAGAAAACCCAGTGTTATGCCTTCCCTCACATCCTGGCATTACTCCTCCAATATAATCACATCAGCACTGCTTTAAAGAAGGGGTGCTTTCATGTACACTGAAAATTGGCAACAGAAGTACCTGGATAAACCCTCAGGTTTATGAATTTTTGTAGTCATTCACCATACCGACAGCTACCCGGAGACCTTCTCCTTCACCATCATCCCCATCCCCACCCTGGCCTTTCCCTGAGCACAGGGAAGGGGGAGATACTGTTGCACAGGTAGCTGACCTTCTTGCTGTGCACATGGGTAAAATCTCGTCCTTCCTTCATGGATCAGGTAGAGATCTCGGGAAAATTCTACAAATGTGGCAAGCGTTCCCATCTCTCTGCCTAAACGCTGGGAAGCAGGATGCAGCCTTCAAAATAACCTAACTTTCTGTCTGAAAGAGGCTGCACATTATTTGCCCTAAATTTCTTACCCTGTTGTTTCCAGATGAAACTCTGAATGTGGTCACCTAATTTTTATCCACAAAAGCAACTCCTCTTTTCTGTCCCAAGAATTACATCTAGATATGAAAGGCTGCCCATTCAACAATGATACAAATAAATCACTCAGTCACATGTAATGAATTTCTGGAAATTATTTCAGACTTCTCGTATTATAATAAAACCATGAAGAGTGAATTTGAACACATTAACTGCAATAGGTGCCTTAGCCATACAGACTAGTGGAGACAGTCCAGTATTTATAGACCGTGGGTAAAATGTTTCCAAAGCACCTAAGGGCCAGACCACTATCGTCTTCTAGGATGCTGCTCTTTCTGGCTTCAGCAAATGTGAAAAAGAGTTCCCACTCTGAGAGAAGGTACAAATAGATGAGGCAAGATACCAAGGTTTACTCTGCATAGAATGGGGAGACTTGCATGCCTCTTAACAGTGATCCAGGACACCTGGGCTTAAAGGTGCCTAGACCTAGACAACAGGAACCAGAGGGTTGTCTCTGAAATCCTGCTCCTCTTCAGAGCCCAGGTGCCTGACTCAGGGTGGTATGTCTGGCACTAAAAGGAGCCTACCTCTGAGGGGAAGCTGCAGTCATATCCACCTTTTGCGTAAGCTTAGTGGTTAGAGCACTCTCTCAGGAAGTTGGAAACCTGAACTCGAGGTCCCCCTCAGACTGGAAAGGTTGCACCCTCCATTTCCTACTTCCCACAACAGTGAGCTAAGCCCTGACCACCAAGCTGTAGGCAAGGCTGGGATGGGAGATTGGGGACACCCTCTACATCTCCCGAATGTGGCCAATGCGCAGAAAAGAATTCATGACAGGATGGGAAGGGGTCACAGTGTAGAGAGCACTCATCAGAAGCCCAGTGTTGAGCACACATCTTGCAGAATGGAGAGACAAAGGTTTTTGCCTGTTCCAAGGAGTGGTCGAGTATTATACACTGGAGATTCCCTGGATAAAATGGAGGGAAAATAACTTGTGGAGCCTCCCTCCGCCCTCGAACTTTTCTGGAGAGTTTCAGCCCAGTCCAGGTGGTATGCGGGGTTTGGGGCTGGAACGCGTGGCTCCGGGGCTGGGGTGGGGAGCGGGCTGGGGCTGCAGGCAGCCCATCCAGGAGGCAGGGTGGGGCTGGCTCCCCACATCTGTGCGCACTCCCAGAGGGGTATGGGGGACACATACTCCCAGATTTGTGTGCAGGGTGGGGGCAGATGATTCGGACATAGACACAGCTTTATATATTTTTTCCACATACCTCAAGGTACCAGGTGGCTCGTGAACATCAGGATGGTGGGGCTGACGGAGCATCCCACGGGAGTGCAGTGGGGTCCCCAGCACGCTCAGCGATGGACCCAGAAGTGGAAAAGAAGCACTTTCGGTTCACTTCCGGGTCTGCCGCGGAGCGTGCAAGTGACCCCCGCTACCCCCTGGCTTGACAACTAGTGCCTCCTGGGTTGGGGGGGCACCCAGGGTCTACCTGCAGCTGCTCACCGCACTGGGAGATGTAGGAGAGAGGGGTCCCCCATCTGCTTGGCAGCAGACCCGGAAATACTTCTGGTCCACTTCCAGGTCCGCCGCTGAGCACGCGGGCCACCCTCCCCCACGCTCCTGTGGGACGCCCCATCTGCCCCACCATCTCAGCGTTCACAAGCCGAGCCTGGTACCTCGAGCTATGTAGAAAAAACATTTAAAGCTGTGTCTACGGCTGAATCGCTGATTCTCCAAATCAGCACTGAATCTTCAGATTTGGATTCAGCCAAATCAAATCGGGACAGTGATCCAAATCAACAAATCAAATCAGTGTCCCCTGAATCAGGCCAAATGCAAATCCAAATCAAATACGGCCTGCTTCGTACACCCCTAAGAGCTAACCTCTGGGATGAAATCCTCAGGGCTCCTTTAAAATAAATCACCTAATTTTCCCAAGGGGTCTTTGTCCCCTCAGTGATTCAAGACCAGAAACAACCCTCTGCTTGGTGCTACCAGTCCATTCCTTTTCTTTGCACCCTTGCCTTTTGGGTCCTGAACCCCCCCAATTTCTTCTCTCTGGCTCCCTTACCTTCTGGCTTAACTCTGGGAGGGGACTTTCCCTCTTCAAGGGGACGGAGTGCACCCAAAGCAAGCAGCTCCTCTTCTTTTTTTCTTTAAAGAGAAAGCAGTGTGTACTGGTCAGCTACAATACACCAGGTGAACCCTTGGGCCCCAAACACCTGGCTATCTTGCAGGCAGTCTCTTTCAGGGAACATCCCTGCTGGCGTCTCACTTGTGCGCTCAGGTTCCTCCCCTCCTGCCTTTCTCTCTCAGTCTCCATTTGCCTCTAGCATCTCCATTTTCAAAAGGGTCTTTTTTCACTGCCCTGCCCTTCTCTCAGGTGCCTCCCTGGCACAAGAAACAGTGAGGAGCAGGGATCCTAGTTTTCTCTGATTTAAAAAAACATCCCCAATTTTCAGTTTTAAAAAAGTAACTCCAAATCCACATTTACCGTCATTTAAATGAAACACCACTAATATAGAGATGTGTACACAGTGGTGTTGCATTTTAATCATGGAAAAATGTAGATTTGGAGTTGCTTTTTTTTAACTGAAAATTGGGATTTTTTTAAATCAGAGAAAATCAGGATCCCTGGTGGGGAGACTCTTACATGCAGTTAGGTGGTGGCTGAAGTCCACCTGATGTGGCAGCATTGGCAAATGAGCTCCTTGTTGCTTGCAGGCCCGTTACCTACCGAACACCTAGGCACATCTCTACAGCGCCGGTTTGAAACACAATTAACCCCTTTTTTCCCTGTGCACAAGCTACTTGGGGAAACTTGCATTTTACCAGCTACAATCGAGCACCAGTTCAACATTTCCTATCCCCCCCACCACCTATTTGTCTCACACTTATTGTCCCCCATCCCTTCTGATCCTCGCTGCCACATATTCGCATATTCACAGACCTGCATTTTGCATATTGACTTCTTTTCCACCATGGAGAACACAAAGCGCCAGCAGACTGTCCCTATGCTCGAAGAAGGGTGTTTGTGCCTGAAAGCTTGCAAAGAACAGTTTTTCCAACTATTTAGTTGGTCTAATAAAAGATCAAGCAGCGTCCTTCCATTCACACTGCAGCTGAGACTTACCACAGGAAACACCAGCAGCTGGTCTACGCCTCCATGCAAGCCCCAGGTAAGTACCTAGGGTTTACCCTTTCCCAGGGGGAGTCCATACTCACTGAGAGAGGGGTGGTACTCCTCAACCCCGTCGTCCGCAGGGTCGTTTTGCCGACCCCTCTGCAGAGCGCTCCTCGATGGCATCATCATCACCATTCTCCCCTGCGTGTCCCAGGCAGCAAAGTTGTTGGGCTCCTGTGCTGCATTCCCTTCACACTGCCGCGTGGACCAGGCAAGCCTCCTTGGCTTGTGAGGGACAGCTTCCCCTCCATTTTGTGCGATACTGAGAGGCAGCTTCCCCTCCGTTTTGTGAGGCCGCAGAGCAGGCAGCTGTCCCTCCATCTGAGAAGCCTTCACAACCCCTGTTACTGAAGAGCATAACTCTTGGGCTAATTACCTGAGAAGAAGCCAAATCCAGAATATCCTCATTTTAATTATACAAGGACTCTTTAATTAGGTGTCATTAGTCAGTTATAGATATACCGAAGGCCACTTTAAATCTTTTAGCAGTTAGTAGATAGATTGTTGTTTCCTGAAGGCTGAGGTGCTCAAGAGGTTGGCTATATAGTAACATTGTTTTTAGCTCTAGACATTTCAGCACAGGCATTCAGGGAAGTATATGACAGTACATGACATGACATTATTACCACTTCCTTTACTGCTTTGGTTAGTGGATTTTCAGATCTTAGTGAAGTTAGTAATATTAATACATGGTCAAGGGTGCAATAACAATCTGTTTTAACTATTTAGTGTGTGGAGTGGTGAGTGTGGTCGTGTTAGTTGAAGCCATCAGGGACCTGAATGTGACCAAGCAGTGAGATATTGCTCTGGGGATTTCTTGGTTACGCCTTGTCTTTGTTATGTCTTGTCCCTCTTTGTCCCCAAGAGCTTGGCAACGTCATTCAATGTACAATGGGGATAATGACAACGACTATCATGTCATGCAATGGGAGAGCATTGAATGAGCCCACGAAAGGGATGAAAGTGCTCAGACCATTACCATCTCTGGACAGTCGGATTGCTTTTCTTACAAGAAATGCATTGAAAAGCTGTATCCCACTCTTCACGCAATTCTTGAAGCAGAGGTACAGCTATATTCATTCACAAACAGATTGCTTTCACATTCATTAACAGATGGGGCGACTCTGCTTAAAGATACTAAATTCTGTGAGCAATGGAGAAATCGATCGCATAGTTTATGGAAGACAACAGGCATTACGTCATCTGCTGTGACTGTTTAGGGAAGCTTGAAAAGCTACTTTTTAGGGGGAAATAGATAAAGTGTGCTAATGAAAGGGCAAAAGACAGGTCTCAAATGTTATTTGCAGTAGAGCAAGATATTTCACATCATGAAGGAGCACATAAACTAGTTCCACAAAATGAAAATATATATAGATCCCTCACAAAAGCAAAACAGAACTCCAACTAGCTGAAAACCTCAAAACATTCACACTTAAATTTTTATTGCAAACGTATTTCTTTAAATACAGGATTTTTAGTAATCCTTTGACCAAGTATTGCTAAATGATTTCTTCAATCAGCTTCTAAAGGTTGTTTTCTTTCTTCAGCCAATTCCTTTTTCTCTTGCTTGCCTGTTTCGCATTCTCTCATATTCATGTTCACTTGATGGACTTCTAAGTCTTCCAGACTTCTTAAATTTTCTTTCCTGAAAACTTCTTATTCCATAATTTTAAAATTTTCTATTATATTGCTCTGGGGGTTTCTTGGTTACGCCTTGTCTTTGTTATGTCTTTTCCCTCTTTGTCCCCAGCAGTTTGGCAACGTCATTCAATGTACAATGGAGATAAGTAAAGACAATGACTATCATGCCATGCAATGGGAGAGCATTGAATGAGCCCACCAAAGGGATGAAAGTGCTCAGACCGTTACCATCTCTGGACAGTCGGATTGCTTTTCTTACAAGAAATGCTTTGAAAAGCTGTATCCCACTCTTCACGCAATTCTTGAAGCAGAGG